AGCAGCGCGTCGGCGATATGTTTCTTGGACGGCGCGGCCTTGAACTGGCCTCGTGGCGTAACGGAAAAGACCTCCTCGTTGCTGTCCTCGTTCTCATCCTCAGGGTTCCGGCGTCGGCACAGGGCATGGTCAAAACAAAATCAGACTGGCGCAGGAATAGGCATGACGAAAGGTAGGGCCAGAAGGAGGAGCAGCGGATGAGGGAGAAGGAGGGAGAGAAAGGAGGGGGTGGACGGATGAGCGGGAATGATGATAACGACACGGATCAATGCTTGTGCCCCACTCTGGCGTGGGGGGGATACTCGGTTAAGCCGCTTGAACTGCATGCGGAGACAAAACAAGCCTGAACTGCGCCTGCAGCCAGTCCCGCATATCCACCCTCCACGGGGAAGGGAAGATCGGATGAGGAAGGAGACTGAGGAAGCAGGCGGAGGGGAGAGGGGGGCGAGGAGGATCAAGAGGGAAAAGCTAAAAAGGGAAGGAGGAGCGGAGGGGAGGAGGCAGAGGAAGGAAGCCGCCGCGGAGGGGGAGGGGGAGAGGAGGGGCAGAGGGAAGAGGGGATGGTCGCACCGCATCTGACATCATACCCTCCCTCCCATCCCGTTCTGTTGTGCTCAACATTTTCCCACTGGCCAATTCAAGCGCCAACTGAGACCTTAACGCTTGAACGGCATTTGCAGCGCGAGGGAAGCAAGGGCCAGGCGAAATCGTGGAGGGGGGGACGAGGAGGAAAACGGTAAGGAGAAGAAAGCCAAGGATGAGGATGACGACAGCTGCATTGCGACGACGACGACGACGACGACGACGACGACGACGACAAGCGCCGCAAGCGCCCCGCGCCTCGGAGGCTTTGATCTGACCCGGGAGCCGCACGGGTCTTCCGGAGCCCTCATTCTGGAAGCGGCGGCACAGCCGCACCCGCGGGAGAGGCGGCCCCCCGCACTGGACGGTGTCGGGGATCCTCCTCCTCCCCCTCCTCCTCCTCCTCCTCCTCCTCCTCCTCCTCCTCCTTCTCTCTTCCTCCTCCTCCTCCTCCTCCTCCTCCTCCTCCTCCCCCTCCTCCTCCCCCTCCTCCTCCTCCTCCACTGGGGAGCAGTGCTCACGCTGAGCCGCTGTAGAGAGCAGCCCTGGGCAAGCCAGGCGCGCTCGCGCCACATCTGGCAGCCTGACCTTGCGACCACTCCCTTCCCGCTGCTTGGGATCCCCGTCTGGTCGCCGAGGGGAACGTCGCATCGAACTGGCCCGTCGTCTACTGCAGAAAGGAAGACGGGGCTAGATGGCACGAGGCGGCGCGCAAAGAGGTCGGCCGAGGAGAAGACGCTCTCAACGGAGCAACGACACGCGCGAAACGGGCATGGGGAAGGCGACGAAAAGAAAGGAGGAGAAGTTGAAGGACGACGTCGAGGAGGCAGGACGACGACGACGACGACGACGACGACGACGACGACGACGACGACAACGACGACGACGACGACGAGGACGAGGGGTGGGGGGGGTGAATAAAGATGCAGGGAAAAGTAAACAGCCTCGAGCACATCCCTACCCATAAGATAGTCAAGCCAAATACGATATCAATCCCAGCGCCCGCAGAAGCTGGGCGAATCCTGCAGATGGACGCCGAGACCGGATGAGGCAAATCACAAGGCATGCTTTAGGCTGGCGGGGAAGAGGAGCAGGGACGTGAGGGCGGAGGAGGGGCGGAGGAGGGAGGGCGGAGGAGGAGGAGGAGGAGGAGCAGGGGAAGGGGCGGAGGCACGAGGTGGAGGAGGAATTGAAGGAGAAAGACGAGAGGGCGGAGGAGGGGCGGGGGAGGGAAGGGGGGGGGCGGGGCAGAGGATGCGGAGGCGGAGGAGGAGGAGCAGGGGCGGAGGAGGCGAAGGAGGTGCGGAGGAGGGGACGGGGCGCGAAGGAGGTGAAGGAGGCGAATGAGGAGACGGGGCGAAGGAGGGGACGGGAAAAAGGAGGCGCGGAGGGGGCACGGAGGAGGCGGAGGAGGCGAAGGAGGCGCAGGGGAGAGCAGGCGGACGAGAGGGGGGACGGAAAAGATGTGCGCCCCCTCGCCTGGCCAGGGAGGCAGATACACCGATCCTCGGCCCAGGGATGGGCCTGGCCAGGTGCGGCGGATACGTGCTGAGTTCGTCGCCCGAAAGGGGCCCGAACGGGTGGTAGCAGCAGCAGTAGCAACAGGAGCTGCGATCCTTATGATATCAGAGTACCGTCACCGCACCACCATCAAGAACGCTGAGAACGGAACGAAGGGGCTTTTCTGACTACGGCGAACCTCGGCCACGAATGGGCTCCCAGACCCAAGCCTATGGAGCGGCCCGCAAACCATAACCATTCCTGAACACAAAATGGCCCCTGTGCCCACGCCGTGACTGCGCCATAACCCGTGAATTTGAAGTGACCGTCGCCCGCGTTGTATCGATGAATACGCTGGCAGCGGCAAACGTATTACGACATGAACAAGAACAAATCGAAAATCCAGTGACCACAATTCACTAGCAATAACACTGCGAACTGCAACGTCAGGCGAACATGCGAAAATAATGCTGCGCACCAATACAGATGCAAACGCAGGACAACGCAATGCGGCACCGCCCCTCAACCTCCCCTCCCCCCTCAAATTCCGTCTCCTCCCCATTTCCCCCCTTCCCCCCATCCTCCCGCCCTTTCCTGGCCTCTCCATCTCTCCTTCTCTTCTCCAGCTTCATCCTCCTCCTCTTCCTCCTCCTCCTCCTCATGCCCCTCCTCCTCCGCATCTCCTTCCTCCTCCTCCTCCTCCTCCTCCTCCTCGTCATCGTCATCATTATCCTCATCATCATCATCATCATCATCATCATCATCATCATCATCATCATCAGCATCAGCATCAGCATCAGCATCATCATCAGCATCAGCATCAGCATCATCAGCATCATCATCCGCCTCTTCCTCATCCTCATCCTCCTCCTCCTCCTCCTCCTCCTCCTCCTCCCCCCCATCCCTTTTCCTTACAAGAGGCACACGTGACAAGTATCATACAATCACGAATGCGGGACAATGGGAGATGGAGATGGCGCCAACCTGCGGTAGTTTCGGGGAAGCGCGCGAGTGCTCCAACACGCTGGCGAGTGACCATAACGGAGGAGCGGCGAAAAGCAGCATGGCTGTGTGGACGCAGCGCCAGGTTCGATCTGAAGGCGATCTGAATACGACGGGAGAGGTGTGCGAGGCTTCAACGGCGTGTTTTACAATGCAGGCCACCTGTATGGAGCGAAACGTTTGGTCCCAAGAGGGGGGGCGCGATGGTATGCGTAGCCAAGATCCGCCACTGTGTCTTCAGCGCGTTGTGGAGTGCTCCTAAGCTCACGCAGCCCTGATAGGCAGGGTGCTGTAAGGTTCTTGAGGGCCCGGGCCCTCGGTTTCCCATGCGCTCTCGCGCGCTCTCGCGCGGGCCCGGGGTGTGTCGCGTGGGCTTTGGGGGCGCCACGAGGGCCCGAAGACGGGCCAAGAGGGCCCCCAGAGACTCCAAAGACGGTGGGGAAGGGCCCCGAGTCGTCGAACGATCGGGCCAAGACGCCCAAGATGGCCTCCAGACGGCCCAAGATGCCCCCAAGATGCCCCAAGAGGCCTTCAAGAAACATTTCGAGCGAGCCTCAAGAGACAAAAATAACATACGTTTCATAAGTTGTTAAAAAAATGCTCGCATTTGGGAGCCTTGATGTGAAGAACTTGTTACGTCATGGTGAGCTTGTCAGAACCATGGTGCAATTTGGCGCCAAGGTCGGTCGGTCGGAATAAGCAGAAGGGGGGCCACGAAGGGAATAATGGGGGCACGGTCGGGCCACTGTCGGGAGGGCACGGTCGGTCGGTCGGAATGAGCAGAGGGGGGGCCACGGAGGAAAGGGGGGAGCACGGGGGGGCCACGGTCTGGCAGGGAGGAGGGGGCGGGGCACGGTCGGTCGGTCGGAATAAGCAGAGGAGGTGGGCACGGGGGGAAGGGGGGGGACGGGGGGCCACGGTTGAGCAGAGGGGGGGGGCACGGTCGGTCGGTCGGAATCAGCAGAAGGGGGGCACGAGGGGAAGGGGGGGCACGGGGGGGGGCACGGTCGAGCAGGCGGAATAAGCAGACGGGGGCCACGGGGCGGAGGGGTGCGGGGGGGAGCAGGGGAACGGGAGGGCACGGTCGTGCAAGGGGGGGGGGCACGGTCGGTCGGTCGGAATAAGCAGACGGTGGCAGCGGGGCGGAGGGGCGCCGGGGGAAGCAGAGGGACGGGGCACGCTCGGTCGGCCGGTCGGAATAAGCAGACGGGGGCCACGGAGCAGGGCGCTGGGGGGAGCAGGGGGACGGGAAGGCACGGTCGGGAACGGGGGGGCGCACGGTCGGTCGGTCGGTCGGATTAAGCAGACGGGGGCCACGGGGCGGAGGGGTGCAGAGGGACAGGCAGAGCACACGGGGGCGGCACGCATCCTAACGCACATCTTGGCCCAGAGATCCCAGTACACCCACTCCCCAACATGTATCCCAGCACACGAAAGCAGCACACATCCCAGCACGTATCCCAGCACACGGAGGCAGCACTCAGCCCTGCACACATCCCAGCACACGAAGGCAGCACACGTCCCAGCACACGTTCCAGCACGCATCCCAGTCCAGCGCACATCACAGGCACGGTCGGCCGGTCGGTCGAAACAATGCAGTGCGAGATCGCACCGGTAGGTATGATGATAAATACTTTCCCCCTGTCGCACCCCGAGGCTGGTCGAAAGAGCGGGCTGGGCGTTTCGCTTGAGACTTCCTCACCATGTAGGACCCTGAACCTTAAAAATTGGCAATAGCTTCACAGATGGAGGGCGGGTCGTTTTCAAAATGTGGCTCCCGCCTTAGCGCCGCGCACATTGGCTTTAAAAGGTTGTTCGAGATTTACGAATTGAGGGCTGGTGGTTTTCAAAATGTTGTTCTCGTCTTAGCGCCGCGCACAATCGTTGCAAGAAAACGCAAGAGCTTCACGAAACGGATACGATTCGTTTTCAACATGTGGCTCTCGCCTTAGCGCCGCGCGCATTCCTTGTTCTAACAAATGTCACGAGCTTCACGGATTCCCATTGTCGACGTACCAGAAACTGCGGCTTGAAAAGATTCAGGATTATGAAGGTCCAGCAGCTACGGTGATTCGCGGTGTTGAAATCCCAGGAATGGCGTTCTCGCACGATTCAGGATCCTCAAGACGCAGCAGTCATGTTGATCCGTGGCGCTATAGTCCCGAGAATAATGTTTTGGCATGCTTCGGGGCCTTCAAACGATTGTCTTCCAACGAGGCAGTTCCCGAAGTGAAAATGACGCCTTGTAGGGGCCTATGAAGAGGAAGCCTGGAGGGAGGGTCTATGCCATCATCGTTGATGACTCTTGGACTTACACTGGTCACTCCTCCTCCTCCTCCTCCTCCTCCTCCTCCTCCTCCTCCTCCTCCTCCCCCGGGCCTCCCCCTCCTCCTCCCCCTCCTCCTCCTCTTCCTCATCCTCCTCCTCTTCCTCTTCTTCCTCCTCCTTCTCACGTTAGACCGACATTAGGTGCTAGCATGTTGCGATTGTCCTCCTCCTCCTCCTCCTCCTCCTCCGCCTCCTCCTCTTCTTCCTCCTCCTCCTCCTCCTCCTCCTCCTCCTCCTCCTCCTCCTCCGCCTCCCTCCTCCTCCTCCTCCTCCTCCTCCTCCTCCTCCTCTCCCTCCTCCTCCTCCTCCTCCTCCTCCCTCCCTCCTCCTCCTCCTCCTCCTCCTCCTCCTCCTCCTCCTCCTCCTCCTCCTCCTCCTCCTCCTCCCCCTCATCCTCCTTCTCCTCTCCATCCTCCCAAACCCACGATGATGAGTCCGAGGAGCGATATTTGCCACCGTCGGGCTACACGAATACCTCTCCTGGGACGCCATGACAACCACGGAGAAGCTGCCGATCTGGAGGGCTGCGTAGGAGAAAGCGCAAGGGGAGGATTAGGATGCGGTTGCGGATGCAAGACGGCAACGCTCTAAAACAACTGACTTGCTCTGCCTGGCTCAGGACTTTGCGTTGCATATTCAACAATGTCATGCCCAGGTGTTACTTGCTGCGCTTGGCGATCACTACCAGCGATCGCAAAGATTCAGCAGTGACTGGCCTACGGCAAATACAGAACAAGGCCTGCAAGATTGAGCGCTCATTGGGGAGGAGGTGGAGGAGGTGGAGGAGGAGGAGGAGGAGATGGAGGGAGGGAGACAGCAGAGGGTCTGCCTACCGTCCCCCTCCAACGCTGTCCTCCTCGTACTCCTCGTGCATGGAATTCGGGCCCTTCGGGTCCCGGTTGAAGTGGCGGTGTTTTACCTCGTGCAGCCGCATGCCCTTGTCGAGCGCTTCCAAGCTGCGGGCTGTCTAAGAACCCCGTGTGGTTGCAGGAGGAGGAGGAGGAGGAGGAGGAGCAGCAGCAGCAGCAGCAGCAACACAGGGAGAGGGAGAGGTTGCAGCGGGAGACAGTGAACGGGGTTAGCAGGCGGGCATAGAAACGTCACCTGGCAAGCTAGCCCCCAGCTTGGCTGCACTGGCCTGCGTGCGGAGACGAATCATCTCCTTTTTGGAGATCTGCACCACCTCGAACTTCTCGATCTCCTCGGCCCCCAAGGCAGACACACCCCTTTCAAAGTGATGTCGCGCGAGAACCTCAGGATACAGTAGACTCACTGACGGTCTCTCGAGGATGGCTCCGGGCGCTGCCTGCGGGAGGCACCTGGATGCAGACCTACAAGTGGCACAGATCTGCCGGCACTCCCAGGACAGACAGCTCGAGGCGTTACACTGGAAGACCGCATGGCCGCCTTCTTCAACTGACTGGGAGCTCGGATCAGACTTCACACGTGCTGCCTCTTGCCTTCGAAACCATCTTTACCACTCTCGTCGCCCGCAACGAGCAGGCTGCACGAACCTCCATTGACATTCCACATCTCCAGCCTTGCTTCTGCTGGGAACGGCACCCTCTGGAGGAACTGGGTGTCTACAGCTCGGGGGACCCAGGCGCCAGGAGCGACTCACAGGCGGAAACGCAGCGGTAACGAGTACTGGAACCAGAACCGTTACTGGCAGACAGAACACTTTGGGGCAATGGAACACCCATGGAAACGGTATTGAGAGAACTGCACATACCATCCCAACGGCAACAACAAAGACCTACGCGACACGATTGCCAGACATGTTGAAATATGCACATCTGGCAGTTAAAGATGCCACGCTGGAAGCAGAAACAGTGGGGGGCCATCGCGTTTTCCAAAACATCTGAGCCCGCACCATCCCCTCCGTCGCCTCCCGCCGTCCTATGCCTCCATCCCTCCCAGGAGGTCATTGACAGTGAGCGTCGCGTGAGCGTGCTCGGACTGCTGGGCAAAGGACGACGGGGAGGAGCCCTCGTCGAACTCGAAGACTGGCCTCGCCGCCCACGCCAGGGGCAAGAGCAATGCTCCGAGGAGCGTAGTCTGGATGAAGCGCTCGCAAGCGGATGGCAT